ACAGGACGGGGTGGATGTGAGCGTGTCACAGGACGGGGTGGATGTGAGCGTGTCACAGGACGGGGTGGATGTGAGCGTGTCACAGGACGGGGTGGTCGTGAGCGTGTCACAGGACGGGGTGGTCGTGAACGTGTCACAGGATGGGGTGGATGTGAGCGTGTCACAGGACGGGGTGGTCGTGAGCGTGTCACAGGACGGGGTGGATGTGAGCGTGTCACAGGACGGGGTGGTCCTGAGCGTGTCACAGGACGGGGTGGATGTGAGCGTGTCACAGGACGGGGTGGTCGTGAGCGTGTCACAGGACTGGTCGGGTAGACAGTCGTTGGTGTCAGGCAGAGGCCCGGCCTCCGTGGCTTCCATCTCCCCCGGCCCGCTGCTGGGGTGGCTCTGGGCAGGAGGCGCGCGGTGATCATTGCTCCCGGATGCTGACGCGGTGATGGCAGCGCAGTGCAGTGTGGGGCTGGCGTGTGAACCCTGGGCCTCCACTGCCACAGCTCAGTCTCCCCCAAGCTGTGTGGACGTGTTTATCAGGGCATGTGGGGTGACGGTCATCTGCTCACCCTGTCCTTCCTGGGGTACCAAGGCGACTGCGTAGGGGAGGGGCTGGAGGTGAGCGGCCTACCTGGGACTGCACTAAGCTTCTGGGCCAGCGGGATTCAAAGCTCAGCCTCCGGGGTGGCTGCCTGATCACAGGCCCGGCCCGGCCCTGCTCTGCTTCCTGCGTTCCGGGGAGTGGGGACGCCCGGCCCGCTGTGGGCCCCTGGGGGCTGATTCTTGTCCTGTTTCGGGAGGTGACCTTGGGCCTTCTGGAGGAATCGTCCGAGGGAGACGGCGGGGTGAGGGTCGGCGTGGCCGGGCCGACTCCCGGCTCTGGGGTTGGGCTGGGAGCCGGGAGCCCGGGCCCCGGGGAGCCAGCGGCAGGGCCGACTTGGCTTCCAGGGAAGCCCGTTGCCCGGGAGCAGGCCGCCGCGGGGGTCCCTGGGGCTCCGGGCTCCCAGCAGCCCAGGGCTGGGGAGGGAGTGGAGGAGAACTTCTCCCGGAGCTGGGCCCCTGCCGGGAAGCCACTGCGCCGCCGGGCCGGGGCTGCGCT